ATAAGGCATCATCTTACCTTTTACTGCATCAATGAATTTCACCTCCAGTTTCCATGTTTTGTCAGTCTTTGCACCAACATGATGACAGGCATCATTCAAAGGACTGAGCCTGGGCGGCATGTCAAACTGAAAAGAAATTAATAAAAAAGGGACATAGCCATGGCTTCAGTTACGGTGAAAATACATCAACTGTATTTTAAACTGTGCTATTCCAACACAATTTCTGTGAAGTCCAGCCTAAATAGAAGATATAAAATGGTGACTTTTGTTAATTAGTGACAAAAAAAAGGACAAATTTAAGGTGAAATACACAATGAACTCTTCTCAAGCACCGGTCCCTTCACTTAACAGTGTTTTTCAATCTTGGTACAGGGGGGCGACGGGGCCAGCAGTTATTGGATATTAAGTGATATAAAAAAATGTTACATAAAAGTTAATTATAGAAATCACATAACTTATGCAGATTAAATACAAGTAGTTAAATATGCTTGTGTTTGTTATATGATAAACATTTAGTAACGTGCATTTCACAATCTGTAGTGTATTAGCCCGGGAACCTAGTATTATTTGATGATGTTTGTTGTGTCAGAATTCACTCGCACCTCCTATAAGCAATGAGACCCCCATTCCCCCTCAATAATAATTTTCTGGTGCTGCCGCTGATACCTGAGCTCTGCTGCCATGCGGCTCTGAAGCTCACTAGCCACGTGCTCTCTAGCTAGCCACAGTGCAAGTTGAAGCGCACCATGGCGCACTTCAACTTTAAGTACATTATACATTTACCGTTTACCCACATTTGTACTGATTTTTATATTAACTGAATTAATCCATCCTGGTACTCGAAAACTCGACAACTGCTACCTGACTTGAGCACGGTTGCTAATTAATGCTATCTATAACTTTCCTTGGCTAATAACCTTCAAACAAAAAATACGATAATTTGAATGAATAAATAAACATAAACCGCTATCTTCCAACAAAATGTTTAATACTTACTGAAAACGCCGCTGCCCACACTTCGTATCGCCATTAATCCTTTAAACCAAGTGTTGACAATCTCCTTTCCCGTCGTCGTCGTCTCTGTCTCGTCTGGCGGTTTCTTCGCAGACAGGCCTCTGTTTGTGGGCGCGGTGGGAAACATGCGCGCGTTCTGATTGGTCAATAGTGTCAACAGTATCTGTTGAGTTGGTGCTCTCACTATAATTATTATTATTATTATTATTATGAATGTTTACGCCTGTATTTATGTTGAGAAGACTGTTTTATTTACATTTGGATAACTCTGTTTTCTTTTCCTGTTTACCAATGGGCGTGGTTGATAAATTGTCCAGCGCCACAGCTGACGCCGGTTGCGCGTAATGGAATGAATGGAATGCAGTGTGTCCCGAGTTCTATTTCCTCCATATATTTCGGATACAATTAGCTGCGTTTCCATTGAATAATGCGCAAAAACTTTTTCGATACATTTCAAAATTCGAAAAACCTGTAATTCGCAAAAGCGGCCGTTTCCATTAAGACATATTCGAATAAGTATACACTATTTTCGCGCGTTTATTCACTAGTTTCTAGTACGTCAACATGGCAACAGAAGTAAACAACACTTTGATTTACGTGAGATATATTAATGTCTTGACTTCTGCTGCGGCTCTCATCCTCTCTGACCCCGGGAGAAACTGTGGCTGCTTTGACAGCTCCGCGAACGCGCGTGTTCATGTACCGAGCGCGGACCATAGACGCGCGCACAGAACCATAGACACGGGTCTTGCCTGTCTCCCCCGTCTCTCCCCCCCCGTCTCTCCCCCTCCCCCGTCTCTCCCCCTCTCTCCCCCGTCTCTCCCCCGTCTCTCCCCCATGCCTCTCCCCCGTCTCTCCCCCGTCTCTTCCCCGTCTCTCCCCCGTCTCTCCCCCATGCCTCTCCCACGTATCTCCCAAGTCTCCACACGAAGCGCAGCCAAAACTCACTGAATAAAGCTCAGCTCGGCTTCCTCCGCTATATCGAAATAAGTGTTTCCATTGCCGTTTTGCGAAAAACTTAATTTCGATACGTCCAAAAAACCACCTATTTTAAGTGCATTAACTTTTTATCGAAAAACTGTGGTTTATTCGAAATTTGCGCGTTTCCATTAGACATTTTATGATGCGCAAATTCAAATTTCGAAATTTGATACTCAATGGAAACGCAGCTAATTGTCTCTTTATCTGGGTTCACAACGCGAATCTGCTGCTGGATTACCTCTGCCAACAGGTTATGGGCCCAGAGTAACCCAGAGTAACCCAGAGTAACCCAGAGTAACCCAGAGTGACTCAGAATAACCATGAGTAAACGGGTCGGAGATCCAAGCCGCTGGTCTCGCCTGTTGTTTGATGGAGATGAGAAACATTATGAACTGTGGGAGACAAAGTTCTTGGGCCACCTCCGTTTGCAAGGCCTGAAAGACATTATTCTAAATGTACCCGATGCGGGAGACGCAGAGGAGCAACAGGACGCCAAAAATGCAGAGGCTTACGCAGAACTCATTCAATTCGTGGATGATAAAAGGATGCGGGTTTGTGCAGCGGAAGATAACGTGATGAAAGCGCGTGTGCAGCAGAGATGGAGACCTGCTGTTACGGGTGACCGAGGAGCGGACCGAGGAGCGGACCGAGGAGCGGACCGAGGAGCGACGGATTTAACGTGCTTCAAATGTGGATTGAAGGGACACTTGGCCAGAGCCTGTCAAGCGCAGACTGTGGTGCAGTCACTGCTTGTGCTTCACAGCTAGAAGGTCCCGGGTTCGATTCCCACCTGGACGGGGCCTTTCTGTGTGGAGTTTGCATGTTCTCCCTGTGTCTGCGTAGGTTTCCTCCGGGTACTCCGGTTTCCCCTACCACCAAAAACATGTACAATAGGCCGGGATGAATGATATGAGTGAGTGGTTGGTGGTGGTCGGAGGGGCCGATGGCGCAGATTGGCTGCCTCGCTTCAGTCGGTCTACCCCAGGGCAGCTGTGGCTACAATAGTAGCTTACCACCACCAAGTATGGAGTGAATGAATAGTGCAATGTAAAGCGTCTTTGAGTGTCCAGAAAGCGCTATATAAAACTGATGCATTATTATAGAAAAAGTATTTCGCGTGATGTAAAGTTGAGCTGATTTGCGTGAGGCTGCGGTCATGAAAATGTGTAGTTTGTGCCGTTGTTTTGACAGAGAAATTAAAAGGAGGCGCTGCGGTGTTTTTCTGCCTTTATTTAACTCTGTCATTGGCTGCTGTTTTCTGTGTGCTCGCTTTGGGGACGGTAAAATCACCTACGTTTCTCCTGTGCGTTCAAAATCGGGCTTAAAAATCAAACATGTTCCTGCAACTGAAGTCTAGTCGCGTCTGACTGCTGACACATTACACGATTCAAACGTGAGTCCAGTCGTGACCTCTCATACACTACGCGACACGACTCTGTGTGACTGCCTTTGACTAGACACGACTCGAGAAGACTCGGTGCAACTGAAAATTTGAGCAAAATCGGGCATAAAAGTTGTGTAGTATGGGCTAACCTTAACCGTCCCAAACCTGCAGGGCCTATAGGAATATGCCACATGAAATTAAGACCCCTAGTCTAAAGTGTTGCTATAACATGAGCAATTGGGCCAGCGTTGTTTTTTGTCACATACCCTAAAGCAGGTCTGTGAATACCCTAAAGCAGGTCTGTGAAGACACATTGCCACATATCTTTTGGGTAATAGTTTCAGAGCGCTGTGTGTCACATTTCCTCCCAGCTAGCATAGATGACATGGTAGGTTGGCTACCTTTCTCACCCGAAGAGGCTTGCGGGTGTCGTGTGTGGACTCAATCACTTAAACACTGTGGAAGACATCTCTTCAATAATAATAATAATAATAATAATGATAATGATAATACTGTGCAATATCTTCATTGTGGAATAATTACTATTCAGCTGCACGAGTCAATACCCCATATGCAACTGCTGCTTTTGTAGTTGTGTTTTGTTTCTTGTATATAGTGTTTATATTGATATTAATATTACCTTTTACCTGTATTGTTATCTGTATATCTATATGGCTAGCTTTTTTTATACCACTGTATATGATCTACCTCTCATCCACTTTGCTGCTGCAACACTGTGAATTTCCCCATTGTGGGACTAATACAAGAATATCTTATCTTAGGAAATTGATACAAGCCCATTCTGCCAATCAGTCATCATGGGAAATGTGAACTCTCTGCCCAACAGAAGTGATGAGCAGGAGATATTGGTTAAGATTTAGAATGTGTACTATGAGTGCAGCCTGATGTGTTTTACTGAAACCTGGTTGAATCAAAACATCTCAGACTCCATTGTGGATATACCTGGCTTCACTCTCATACGGCCAGACAGAGATGCTAAGGCTAGTGGCAGGAAATACATTTGTGGAGTGGACATCAATGTGGTGCCAAGCTATAAATATTTAGGTGTACTACACCTGAATAACAAGATGGACTGGTCCCTTAACACAGATGCAAAAAGGGTCTTTTTCCTGTGGAGAGATACACAATGAGGGCACTAGGTTATATCCTGCCCCACTGCCCTGCTACTTTTAAATTAAATAATAATTTAAATGAGGAAGTGGGAAAAACAAAACTCTCTCAGAGGAAACTTTGAGCTAACCCTGATCTAGCTGATCTAGTTAACACTAAATAATTTGGAAAAATGATCGACGTCACCAGGTGTAACACAGGTTTTCACAGTGTGATAACCTGATCAATACAAAGCTGATTGACAACTCAATCTTCTCAGAGTTTGTTCACTTATTCTCTGAGTTTGACTGTGCTGTTAAAATATGGCCTGAAGTCTGACCACCTGGTATTGCCACACTGAGCCTCACACCGGTAAGACTCTGCCTCTGTTAACCTTCTTGACCTTTTTATTCAAGCGGAACAATATATTGTTATAGATTTAAAATAGCAGGATAATTCATGCTTGTAATTCATTGTAATAGCAACCTATTGTTGTGCTGAATCTCTGTAGATGGTGAAGAGTCGTAAGGGTGTTGTTATCATGAGGTTGTTGTTGTTGTCATTATAAGGTTGTTGTCATAGAATGGATCTGGATCCTAACAGTTGTCTGTGTGCTCCGTTGTGACCTTCCGTATTGAGCTTTTTGCTGTTCCCTCCTTGTTCTCTCATTTGCTCTGAGCTTGGTTTTGTCAGCTTATGACGTGGAATATTACATTCTTAATTTAGGCTTGCTGTAGTTTTTGTGTGAAGCCTTTCTATGAAATGGTGGTATAGTGTATGTATATATATATATATATATATATATATATATATATATATATATATATATATATATATATATATATATATATATATATATATATATATATATATATATATATATATATATATTATATATATATATATATATATATATATATATATTATATATATATATATATATATATATATATATATATTATATATATATATATACTAATATATAATTATATATATATATATATATATATATATATATATATATATATATATATATATATTTTATATATAAAAATAAGACCTCATCAAATGTTACATTAACACTATGAATTTTCTGAACATTCCTAATGGGGACTCGGAAGAGGCGGTACTTACCATATTTGGAAGAAGTGTGTGTGAGGACAACTGAGTGCAATAACATACGGGGACCTTTAGGGGGCGATACTGAGGAAACTGTGTGTGTGTGTCCTGATGGAAAAACATCATTTATGGGCCAAACCGAAAAACTTCACAGGCACCTTCAGAATGGCTCCTGCATTCATTTAAAAGGCATTCCCTAATGGGGACCTCAATTTTGGTCCCCATGGTGTCAGAGGTCCCCATGGCGTGACTGTGTAAACAGAAACATGTCCCCATAACGATAGGAATACCAACACACACACACACACACACACACACACATATAACACACCAATATTGACTCCTGCTGGACAAACCTGACGGACGGAAACGCTGACCTTATGTGTCTTTGGATGCCATTCAGGAAGAAGTGGTCGTTACATTCAGCTTAACCCTCAAACGTAATGAGTTTGGACAATAATTAACATTATCTTTAATAGAGTTTTAACGACTGGGCATTTGCCGGGCACTGAAATGCAGCAGCTAATAGAAGCGATGTCCTACCAAACCCGGGCCAACACCTGTCTCCTGCTGTGCCTAAGAGTAAAGGGTCATGTGTTTATTATTAGCCTCATTTCTTTTATACGCTGAGCAACATGGGCTGGTGTGTCAGAAAGGATTATGATGTTATAATTGCTTGAATTTAGTGTTTTTTATCTTAATTTGAGGACATTCTGACTGTCTTCAAACAAGATTTGCGAATGAGCAATTCTTGACTCATTTTTTATCACTTTTTGCAGTGAAGTACAAGAGAGAGACCAGCAAGAGACTAGTGAGAGGGACAAGAGAGAGACTAGAGAGAGACAAGAGAGAGGGACAAGAGAGAGACCAGAGAGAGACCAGCGAGAGACCAGAGGGAAACCAGAGAGAGACCAAAGAGACACCAGCGAGAGACCAGAGGGAAACCAGAGAGAGACCAGGAGAGAGAGGCCAGAGGAAGACCAGGGAGAGACCAGAGAGTGGGACCAGAAAGACCAGCAAGAGACCAGAGAGTGGGAGACCAGAGAGAGACCAGAGAGAGATTAGAGAGAGACCAGAGAGAGACCAGAGAGAGAGTGTATAAAGCACATATGTATTTTAACCAGTCTGTCTTCATGGATAATTAAAGGGGTCATAATGTAATGTGCAAAAACATTTTCCATCTAATTTACTCACTGAACGTTATTCCAGTGATTCATGCATACTTGAGCAATATATTTTTCTGCATTCAAACAGCCATTGCTTTGGGGAAGACACTACTCACTGTCATACATCATTAGTTGTACAGACATTTTGGCACACATGGAAAAAGTCTGCTTCTTCATACCCTCATTGTCTGTCATATCTAAATTATATTTATAAATGATCATGGAAAGGAAACAGAGCATGGAGTACGCTGTCCCCTGTGTCTACAGCAGACATGTCCAAACCAAGGCCCGCGGGTCAATTGCGGCCCTTAGTGTCCTTTTATGTGGCCCTCTGCCTTGCTAACAGAAACTTTTTGTACGTTTTAACAAATTGTCCACGTGAAGATTTGATCTTTTATGCATTTTGGCCAATGTAAACTTTACCTATGTTTGCATGATTGTTGTTTAGACTGCTCACCGACTACGGGTGGAATTAGCTCTTGAGCTACTGTATAACCTGGTACAATGCATCTCTCTAATTGAGGTAAATGTTTATTGTACACTGTCCCTGTCACTTTGAAATCAGATTCAGATTGGATTTATTCAGACATTTTTAACATTCATTACATGGAAATAGACAATAGACAAGATTTTGAAATGGAACAGGTTATTTACAAAACCAAAACAGAAAAGATGCCTATTAAACATTTATACAATTTAGTTATCTTTTAAGAACTAAACTGAACTACAGCTCTGTCAAAATATGGACATGTCGTATACAGTATACAATCAGGTCAAAACAGTTTAACAATCCATATAGTTGCCCGCTAGACAACTCAAATGAGCTAACGTGGCCTTCTTGCTAAACATGTTTGGGCACTCCTGGTCTTTGGGTATAAAAATCATAAGCCAACTTCTGTAATGTTGCTCTCTTTCCCCATCCACTATATTCTTAGAAGTTCATATTTAGCAAAACAAGCAAAAGTTGCTTCCAAAGTGACCCCTGCGTTTGATGAAGCGCTGTGCCAGGGACTATAGATCTGGATAGATTCGTGCTGCTCTCCCACCCATTGTTCCGTGTACAGTATTGTCACCTTTTACCTGTAAATAGAATCAGTTCCACCGCAAAAATAGGAGGCAGGCAGCTCTAAAGAAGGCCTATAAACCGGATAATTATCTGAATATATTGTCTGAGGCGACGCCAGGGCAGATATGAATATAGATTGTAGAGGCGATGAAATAGGAGGCGGTCGATATGGATGCATGTTTTGTGTAGAATAAAGCAGTGGATTGCATTAGTTTTGTGGGGATTGATTGTGTCGTCTTTGTGAGTAATTACCGCTGTGTGTGTGTTGAATGTGTTGCAGGTTAGGAAGGGATAAAGGATCTTAAACATTTATCAGATTGAATAACGAAACACGTATACAGTACGACGCACACTAGGAACTCGTGTGGGAATCCAGAGACACTGCGATGTGTTATCTAACGAATTATCCACTTAATTAAAACTCACTATACAGTATATTTATGATTTGAAAATGTGCTATGAGCAATTATATGTTTTTTAGTGATGGGTGAATTATAGCCTGACTCTCGCCAGACCCATGTAGTTCGCTGCACTTCACACATGAGTCTGGTACTGAGCCATAGTGGTTGGATTTCAGAAGGCAGGGCCTTGTAAAAAAAAATCCTTGTATGTGATTGGATTGGATAGACCACTGATAGCAGACTGAATGAAGTCTGCTTTCAACCACTCACATCGAAGCACACGGCTTCCATAGGTTGCCAAATCCCAGCAATATTTTCCAACCCAAAATCCACGAGAAAACCCACACAAAAAAAACACTCAGAATGATTTTTTGGCTAAAAACGTAATATAATCAACTTGGGCTATCATGATTGTGTTTATTGTCTTTCTGTTTATTTAATACCTACAAGTCTCTTGGAAAAAAATATGCGGGAACCACCAAACCTGGCAACCCTGCTGCATAGTGTGTAAACAGGAACACTGAACCAGTGCAACCAAACTTTACATAAACATTTGACTCTTAAAACACACATATATCAACATAGAACCATCTACATCTCGCCTCAAATTGCATTAAAAGTGACACCCGTGTCTTAATTCGATCGTATTTACTCTTTTAAAATTCCTCTCGCTGCTGCATGAGAGAAGCTTGAGAAGGCAGTGCAGAACCCACGTAACACCGGCAATCCTGATTGGTCAAAAAATAAATCTGCTAAAAAATAATCTGGGGAAGGCGTCCGCTATGGGCTCGATACCAGACCCATGTGGTTCAGCCAAACGCCTAGTGGACACATTTAATCATTGCTGCAGAATTTATTCACAAAGTGAATAAATTCATACCGTTTCATCTTCTCTCTTAACTATAACAAGAGAGAATCCTACTGCTGCAGAGCATCAGTATATTCCAGTTGTTCGAATAAACAACAATTTTCAGATTGTTACTTTAACGTTATTTTTATTTTTGTTTTTGTGAAATACTATGCGAGCTACTGTGACAACACAATTTCCCTTGGGGACCAATAAAGTCTGTCTAAGTCTAAGTCTAAATTTTGTAACGAAAGCAGTGGATTGCATTCGTTTTTGGAGAGCAGCTTCAGTGACAGACACCTTCGCTGTGTGAAGGAGAGATTCCGTAGGTCTTTCCTTCCTGCTGCTGTCAGACTGTACAATGAGAATGGCTGAGCTTGTACATCTGTAAATAGTAAATACTGCAATCATGTGCAATACTTTCAGAACGTCCGCTGAATATCACTTGATCTTTATCCTGCCCTATATGTACATAACTTTGCACTATATATAGAGATAGATAGAGATATATCGAAGCATTTACAGCTAGCTTAGAAACGTCGCAGCTACTTATATTGTGTGGGCTCCCTATTGTGCTCTTACTACTTTCCTGTATGTGCGCTGCAACATTCAAATTTCTCATCTTTGTTTTGTGGGTATTGATTGTGTCGTCTGTGTGTTGAATGTGTTGCAGGTCAGGTGGGGCTGGTGGTCGGCCTGCTCTTTGCCTTCCTGGTGCTGCTGCCTGGGGTCCTGCTGGTCTTCTACTGCTACAGGATCAAAACCTCCCTCCTCCACAAGTGGCTTTCACAGCGGGACAAGAACAAGAGCAGCAAGTAAGAGCCCGGTGTGAAAGGGATGTGTCTGACGCTACTGTCAAGCAGTGACGGGAGAATGAAACGGGAGATTCAGAGATTGTGCTGCTCGGCTTGAAGAGAAGTGATTTGAAGCAGACCCAGTACTCCGGACCCCGTACTACCGGAGAACCCCCCAAAGGACACCCCGGGGAACACGGTCGAACGCCTTCTCCAAATCCACAAAGCACATGTGGACAGGTTGGGCGAACTCCCATGAACCCTCAAGTATCCGATGGAGAGTATGGAGCTGGTCCAGTGTTCCACAGCCGGGACCAAAACCGCACTGCTCCTCCTGAATCCGAGATTCGACCATTGGTCGAAGTCTCCTCTCCAGTACCTTGGAGTAGACCATACCGGGGAGGCTGAGGAGTGTGATCCCACAATAATTGGAACACACCCTCCGGTCCCCCTTCTTGTAGAGAGGGACAACCACCCCAGTCTGTGCGGTGCCAATGGAATGGCACTCACTGCGAAAAATGATAAAATATGAGGTAATAAGTGTTTGAATCGAGTGGTTTTAATCTTAATTTGAGCATAGAACAAGATAAAACAAGATTCTCCAATGGGAGAATCTTGCCATTTAGTTTGATAAGAACTGTTGCTATATTTTCTCATTCCAAGAGAGACATTTCTTGTATCTTTATAAAACAAGATCATTCCATTTGTCCTATTGGCAAATCTTGTTTTAAGTCAGTCAAAATGTGCTCAAATTAAGACACATTTTACCACTTTTTGCAGTCCCCAAGGACAAGGCTGTAGATCCAGGACTCAAAGCAGCAGCTCTCAATCACACCACATAACGCACGTCCCCATAAAGCCGTGCAAACCATCCCATCCCTCACATACACACATACACACACTGACAGCTCACATAACACTCACACCTTTTTCCCCTTTGATTTACGGGACAAACCCAGACCCAGTCCACGCACCGGCGGAGAGGCTAAACACAGCTAAACCTCACTGTAACTGCAGAAATAACCGAGCCACTGAATCTTAATAAGATGTATCTACAATTTAAGGTGGAGAATACGCGTGTGCTGGTTTCACAGTGGGAGGTTGTGTAGAGACTCGGTTCAGGGCGAGGCCAGCGGGAGGTGCAGCTGATTAAAGGACTACTCAGGCTTATGTGGATCTACTGCGGCTGCCGACTTCACTCATCACATGGAATATTCAGAAACCAGTGCGTTTTATCTACTCACAGATAGCAAAGGAATGAGGACAGACATGTTAAAGGTGATCCTCAGAGATAACTGTTGTGATTTAGGACTGAACAAGAATAAAGTAAACCCCAGGTTCAACAACAGCTGGTTTTCTGGCCTCACAGATTTGACGGATCAAAAGGTCAATGAAAAATAGTCTTAGTAGCATAACATTAAACTCTTACTTTGTTTTGCTGGAATATAAAATGCCAAAACAAACTTGAATTCATCAGAATGTTTATATCTATTATGGTTCGTTGTATGCGGTTGTTACGAACCACAGGTGGTAGTGTCTAGACAGGAAGCAGTGGTCCAAAAATTAACAAAATCTTATTCTACACAAGATTATGAATGTGTAACAGAACCTCTATTCTAAGCACAATCACAAAAATGCTCTGAAAAGGTGAGAACAGCGGCAGGACCCACTGAGCCAATGGAGGTCAAAATGGAGTGAGGGAGAGCCTGGTCTTTAGATAGATAGATCATTTTAGATAGATAGATAATTTATTGATCCCCGTCTGGACCAGTGTAAAACCATGAACATTGTACTGCAGCAACATCTCAGAACAATAAAAACTGTAAAGCACAAAACAACAACTGTTTCAGAGCTTACTTGCTGCCGTTTCCAGCTGGTATCATACAGGGGTGGGGTCAGTGAGCTGGAGATGGGAGGATGTGGACGGGTGAAGGCAAGGAGAAAGGAATTGGTTCATAACAGGGGTCTTTTTATGTCTGTGTCTCATTGGTCCGTTGTGTTTGTGTCTTTTCTTAGTATGTCTGTGTCTCATTGGTCCGTTGTGTTTGTGTCTTTTCTTAGTATGTCTGTGTCTCATTGGCCCGTTGTGTTTGTGTCTTTTCTTAGTATGTCTGTGTCTCATTGGTCCGTTGTGTTTGTGTCTTTTCTTAGTATGTCTGTGTCTCATTGGTCCGTTGTGTTTGTGTCTTTTATTAGCATGTGTGTGTCTCATTGGTCCGTTGTGTGTCTCTTCCAGGAGCAGTGCGTCAGTAGAGAAGGGGAAGAACGGGCACCTGAACCCTGCCTTTCACCTCAAAGTGGTGGGACCCATCAACAAGGCCAGCGCTCACAAAGGGGTGCGTCACTTCATATTCACCCACAGAGACACAAAGAAATCACTTTTTACTGCTACACAAACAGCTTTACTACAAACATACTTTCTTTCTTCCTTCTTACAAGAGCTTAATATTTGACTAGAGCTTTGGCTTACAGACAGTATCATTCTATCAACCTTAAATTGCCAAACGCTGATGAAATACACCTGCCATTCAGATGTTTGAGGTCACTCAGAAATGTCCTTGTTGGTTTTGTTCAAAGGGGATCACATTGAATGAATCAGAAATAGTCTTGACAATGTTAAAGGGGTCAGTGGTTGTTGTGACGGTTGATTTGGAAAGAGATCCCTGTAATCCCATGTTTACGCCCATGTGTAACTGATTATCAAGATTTAAGAAAAGATAAGAAAACGTGATTGTCCCCAATGGGAAATTTGCTACACAAGGCTCAATAAAGTGTTTTTTTTTTTTTTTAAAACACACATTAATTAGTGCAGTGGTGCTGGGAAGTCTCTGTTTGGTTAAATACGTCGTTAATAATAAATATCTCATATCTCAGGGATAATAATATATCATTGGTTCATAATTCATGCATTCTGTTTTTAAAGTGCACATTCATTATTACTGTTTGAGGCACTGAAGTTGGGAGGAAGGAGGTGAGGAGTGCACTGCATCAAATGTTAGGGCGGGTTGTGTGCGAAAATGTATGGCTACATCTATGTACGTGTGGCCGTGCGTTTTTGCGTGCATATGTTTGTGCATGTATAGGTATTTATTTATATATATTTGAATGTAAAATTAATTACGCAATTTAATTTGTACTTCTATCCTTTTTATTTATTTATTTATGAATTTATTATTCACTTTTATTTATGTGTTTATTTATTATTATTATTATTAATTGTTTTATTTTATTATTATTTTTAATATAAATTTATATTGTGTTAAATGTCATATGCTATATCTCTTGGGGATATTGTGGGAGAGACTGGGGGTAATGCAATAAAAATATGATTTTGATTTTTCTTAATTATCAAATGTGAGGTAATGATTGCTTGAATCGAGTCTTAATTTGAGCAGATTCTGACATTAATTAATTCTGAGATTAAAACAAGGTTCTCCAATGGGACAAAATTATTTTTATTATTATTTCAAAAACCATAGCTTTTTCTCTCATTCTAAGGGAGATTTTCAATGTATATTTTTAAAACAAGATCATTTTGCTTTGTCCCGTTGGCAAATCTTGTTTTAAGGCAGTCAGAAAGTGCAGAAAATTAGATACATTTAAAATTTGACTCATTTTATTTTTTCCATCAGCTGGGAGGAGCGAAATTCAGCTCCAATGATCCTTGTTGTTGTTTTAAAGAAAAAATCAGTCTCTGTATTTGATGTTTGTCCTTCACTCGTGCACTCGCAGCTTCACGGAATAACATTGTAGAAAATAGTCATTATTTTGGAACTCACTCCAGATAAGTGGAAGAGCAGCGCGGTCTCTGGTCGACCCGATCTCTCTCTTGTTTTTAAACACAGCGCTCGCCTCTGTGGGTGGCCTGAGATACTTTATCGAGTCTACTTGCTCAGTTTGCGCTCTGCCAATCAATAAAGAGCCGACGTGATTAGAAAACCCTGGTGCAAAGACGTTAGCACATGAACGAAACTGTCAGATTTCAGGGAAAACGTGAAATTGCCTCAGAGACCCTTCACTTTTCAACACCGTTTCATCAGCGTCTGTCAGTCCATAGAGGAACAACTTATTAGAAATCACTGTCTCTTAATGAGTCTCATGGGAAAACCACTATACACTGCAAAAAGTGACAAAAATGCTTGAATTTTGAAAAATATATAATTTTTTTTGAGTACCAGTACAGTCTTACAACATGATTTGCCGATGGGACAAGAAAAAAATTTCTTGTCTTTTAAATTGAAAGGAAAATTCGCAAAGATTCTTGCTTAGAATGAGAAATAAATTGCAAAAGCACTTGAAACAAAATGAAACTGCTTTTTCCGTTGGCAAATCTTGTTTTAGGACAGTCAGAGTGTTCTCAACTCAAAATAAAAGAACAACTTATTTCTCGCTGTCATCATCACACACTGGCAGGGACTGTGTGTGAGGGGGCTTCCAGTATGTATGTATATTATTATTATTAAGAAGCCTCTATGACTGGCCTGTCCAAACTAAGGCCCATGAGCCAATTGCGGCCCTCTGTCATTTTTTTCGGCCCTCTGCACTCCTTTTATCTTCGTTTATTCCCCTTAATGGGCATTAAGGGGAACACATAACTGGAGATTTTTCTTTTTGAAAGTTGGCCCTTCATAGGAACCTTAAACTTAGTTGAGGAAAGTATACGTTAGCATTATATTTAATACAACAAACAGATGGCATCAAAATCATAGGCACATAACTAACTGCAATGTTTTCTCATGACTTCTGTTTGTATTTATGCTTGGATATGATACAATTTGATTACATTGCAATTAATTCCCCGGGTTAGTTTCCAGAAAGAGATGTTGTTTTTTAATCCAGAGAAGGCTTCTGTATCAATGTCTCATCTGGCATGGATAGAATCGCTCAAGATTTGTGCAAAAGACAGAAGTGTGCAAACATGCAAAAGGCAAATAATATCGTCTTTTCAGGATTTTCAGCACTTTTTCCACACACGGCAACACACTGTATGTATATATAAAAAGTGTGTGTGGACAGAACAGAAGCACAGAGAATGAGCCTGATGCGAGGACTCTATAACAAACTGACCATTGGCTCCATCTTCGTCCCCATCGCAGCTTATTTGACCACTTGCAGCTGCTCTCCGCCCACTTCCGTCCAGCCATCTGAGTTCTGCAGACGCTTTTGTACAGAGAGAGACTTAATTAGATGCATTCGTCACAGAGAAAAATGAAGGGTAGGAGCAAAAGAGTGAAGAAGGAAGAAAAGATTTCATTTGGGTAATGCGTGCGACGCTCCAGACGCAATCACACAAGCCTTAATAAACTCAAAAGGCTGAAGTAATGGAGCTGTCACACCTCTCTGCTTTTCCACTATCGCTGCACAGACCACGCCTCCTGCAATTACCCCGAGATGTATTTATTAGACACACATTATGCAAACAAACGGCTTCTTGGAGCTTCCCCCGCATCAAAACAATTCAATTCAATATATCTTTGTTTAGCCCTAAATCATACTAGCAGTCAGCTCTGAGGGTTTTAGGCAAAAGTCCTCCAGCTCTGGTCCGGACCAAGACGAGCATCAACATTTTGGTCCCCGGGCGCTGGATGGGTCAAATGCAAAGAACAAATTTCCCTACGGAGACAATGAAGTGTAGCTGAACTGAATTGAACTGAACTGGTCCATAGGGGGCAGATGACTATAAATGTTAAGAAATGTCCTTAAATGTCCATAAATGTCTGTCATTATTGTTCTTAGACCCTCCTGCATCAGCAACAAGTCAAAAACGACAACAACAAAAATGAGAAACCTCGGGGAAAACCCATATTGAGACAGGTTATGGATTAGAGCAGTTTCCCGGATTTTAGTACAAAAATATCGCCCGTAAATTAGTTTGGGGAAGTCTCAAGTGAAATGACATTCTTTACAATAGCATGGCTGTTGTGTGCATTTAAAAAAAGAAAAAAGAAACAATATAAAGAAATATATATAAAGGCCACTCCTCCCTCTAGTGGTAGCATTGTGAGTTACAGTCAAATAGAATTATCCCCTCTACACTTGTTTCCCCGTATATTTTCTATTGAAGATATTATTTCACATTCTAAAACATGAAATGACAAAGTAAATATTGTCATTGTCGTTTTTATTGTCTAAAAGTAGTTGTTCTTTAAGCCGATGCTACATGTTTATTATGATTATTATTTGTGTTGGTGTATTAAAGATGAAGACATAAAATAAATGGCTTGCTTTTGAAAATCCTAAGCAGCGTTGTTTGCGAGGAGCATCAGTAAGTCACAACATACTGACAACATCTTGCGTAGTTTGTCTCGTGGGAAATGACATTATAAAGTGTCCAATGAGTGATGGTCGTTTGATTCAGTCCAAACAGAGAGAGGTCTGCAAAAACAACGGCCAGAAACTAAGACACGACGTGGGCTTTAATTGAGCCTTTTGTCAGTATTTATTATTATTATTTGGCAAAGACCAGTGTATTTTTTCACGCTGGCAGTGGAACTAAGTTAAATATTTACTTTGAATCGATGCTATTAAGCGATTAAAAGGTTTTCAGAAAATGAAAATCCAGGCCATGCTCCCACTTCAAAGATGTAATGGACAGACCTTGGCTTTAGTCTTTAGAAAACTTGAATAATTAATGTTATGGCTTTAACTGAAGTAGATTGAGGATCATTTTTGTTAAATACATTTGAGGTAAATATTTCAAAAGGCATTCTTCCATTAAAGTAAGGACCATGTGTCTGTGTTTATCCATCAATCATACTGCGTGTTCAGACCGGTCCATTGTCAGATTCTTCTTGTTTGGCCTCAAAGGAAATCCTTTGACGAGACAACACCTTGTTTGGTTGAATAAGATCAAAATGATCCCAGACCATATTGATGTATCATTTATACTGCGCCTCTCCAATGAAAGCTGTCAAACCAACGAGGCCAAACACTCTGGACCAATGAGAAGTCGGGAAACTTCACACACGACACATTTGATACAAAGTGAAGCAGTGGCTGCAGAGTCCGGGACACTGACACGTTTGTCACGTGAGCGACTGTTTCGAAACACGCTCCAACAGTGTTTTGTGAAGCATCTGTTTTAGGAACAGCAGCACACTCTGGAGCGTCTGTGTAGTGTGTCCATCACTAGATCGCTTGTGTTTCCGGACGTCCGCGGCTGAGACTCTGCTGAACCTCTGAGACAGACTCACTGAATCTCTAGAGTTCGATCTAACCCATGTCAGAACCAGGAATGCAACAGTAAAATGTATTTTTATCATAGTTTTGTTCTATCTATTTGACAAAGCAGATGTATTTTAACGCTGTGGTGCAGCTGACCCCTGACCTCCCACATCAGAGCCAAGCTGTTTGAACACTTATTTTGTCATGTTTTGTTCCTTCATAGCAAAGGGACTTCCTTGTGTATTAAAGTGTGTGTGTGTGTGTCTCCCATCGCAGCTGCCTCACACCAGTAAAGAGCTGCTGCCGCTCAGACCAGGACCAGTCTCCAACGGGACGCAGCCCGTGAACATCGTGAGGCCCCTCAGAGCCGCCCCGTCTCCGCAGGCTGCAGCTCGGGGCGTCAGGGCCGTGAGACCCCCGCTCCCTGTGGGCAAACCTCCAGCTGTCCCCCACAAGACCCCCCCCACGCCCCAGAGACTCAGCCCCCCCAAGAAACCTCTGCCCCTCAACCCCACCAGGTCTCCACTGGTGAGTGCAACATCTCTACCAAATACTCATGAATGCTAAAGCTACATGTAATCAATTCAGTATTTTTATACAGCACTGAATCACAACAGGATTTATCTCAGAGGACTTTACAAAGTTAGCAATGCACCAACACACATTAGAGAATCAAACAGTTCAAACTCAGGAAATACAATGACAACAAACACATAGAGCCGTTGGTCCATTCAGGGCAGATGATCGCTGTCCATAAATATAGGAAGTTAAAGTTATTTAAAGTAAGGGAACCTTAAAGAATCTAAGTGGAGTATTAAGCAGAGATCCAGGACATTTATGGACATTTATGGACATGTTGGAAAATGACAGAGGGCCTGTGTTCCAGTTGTTTCAGATTTCTTACAGAGTTTCTGCTGAGATTTTTCCGAGCGAATGGAGACAGAGCAAGCATTTTGTAGGACAATCTTTGTCACACCGAAGAGACCTATCCACAGATGTTAGCTAGTCACAACAAAAGAGACTAAACTGAAGCTGAACCTGATCAACTCAATGTTTAGTCGTGCGTTAGTCCAGCTCACAGTCATTTATCTACATTTATGGACTTGGTCTTTCCTCTCTTCTGGACCAATGGCTCTGTGTGTTTTTTTTCATTGCATTTCTTGTGTTTCTTGTTTGATTCTCGGATCTGCGTTGGCGAATCCCCAATCTCCGAAATAACTACTGTTGTGATTTATAGGGCAATACAAAAACAAACTGAATTGAACTTAGTAATTTGCATGGAGAAAAAAAGGGTAAATCTAGTTTGAAACCTGCGCCACACGTAGCTCACCACGTTAGCGTTAGCATGTGATCCGTTTGGACTGAGGCGCGCACACGTCTCAGACCAAACAGGGCTCTTCTAAACAGCGGCGTGTTTGAGGAGACGGGATGAAGCGGTTCCATGGGTTCGCTGTCGGCCGGATGCTCTCTCTCTGATAGACTCGCTCAGCTCCTCAATGGCTTCTCATCCATTTCAAACACATCTCTCTCTCTCTCTCTCTCTCTCTCTCTCGCATCTTTTTATTTTTTATCACCGCACTTCGCTTCTGCAAAGTGTGGAGCCACATCGCGGAGGTTATGTGCTGTCAGATTCTTGTCTTTCATATGCACAAAGCCCGACACGTCTGCTCCGCTCTCCCACATCGGAATGGACGGTGCCAATCGGGCTGGAAAAGCATCTCCACATCGCTCGGAATTCATAAGGGAAAAGTTAGCCCAGAGTTTTTCAATTTCACATGAAAATAAATCAGATTTTTTTTTGCAGAAATTGCCAGCATGGGACAGTCTGTGGCCTTGATTCTTTGGCAAAAACTAACAAAGAGAAAGCATTATGAGCCTAAAGTATAGCTTTTAGAATTGAGCTTATTTTTTAAACATGATCAACCAAACTAAACAACCAATTTGTTTAGTTTCGTGTTTTGAATGTTGAACTTAACAGATTCACTACAGCAAAGTGAGAAATATGGAGCCTTTCTTTGTTATAATGTGGATAATTATGGCTCACAGCTTGTAAAAGAAAACAGAAAAGTAGAATTGGACTTTAAGTGACAATCATCATTATTATAACAATGGCACTCTACATATCATGGTTTCATATTCTAAGTTAAAATACAGAAGAAAGTGAACTTTTGAAGGACACTGTGATTGTCTGAGTTTCACCTGTATGAGCTGAAAGTGAATAGTTTTGATTTGAGTGTATTTTTACAATCATTGAACCGATTCATGTGAACTCAGTGAGAGCTGTGACTCTCGTCACAATCAGCAGAAGTCTGCCATTATTGAAGTCCTTCAAGAGAACAACAAAAAACAGTCTTTTTATAGACGCCAACAACAAGAAAGATGTCTAAAGCTGGGGGACCTCACTTTTTTCTCTAAAGGAATATTTTCTCAACAGAAAGTTTGTGAACGGATCAGACACAACAAGCTGTTTATCGCTCTTTAGGCTGAGTGAGGATGGTCTGTTTTTTACTTTTCTGTTTGAAAAATCTGATTTAAAGTGATCCCACTAAGCAAGCCGACGTTGAATCAACGTAATTTGAACGTCGTTGTCCGACGTAGAATATAGGTCACTGGTGGGTGCAGAATTAAAGTTTTCTCGACGTCGTTTCCCGACGTCACCTCAACCTCCAAATGTTACGTTGATGGCACGTCAATTCAAGGTTTGAATGTGGTACGGAACCGGTCGGGTCTGACGTCCTATCAACGTCTCATATGACCAAAATATTGACGTTTATATGACGTTCGTTTTCCGTTGTTCCCACTAAGCAAGCAGATGTCAAAACTATGTCATTTCAACGTCATCTGGACGTTATCTGGACGTTCAAATGACGTCGCGGCCACTTCATTCAAGGTTGCAATGTGGTACAGAACCGGTCGGGTCCGACGTCCTCTCGACGTCTTATATGACCAAAATATTGACGTTTATATGACGTCCATTTACAGTCCTATTGACCTACTTAACCTCTGCAGAATCACTCACTGGTCGAGACATACTTTTTGCAATAGGCAAGGCAAGTTTATTTGTATAGCACAGTCAAAACAAAAGGAAACTCAAAGCACTGAACAAAAGATAGAAACAATCAAACAAGGCATTACAATTATAAATATTGACAGTAAATTAAAAAGAAACAAATAAAATCTCTCATAAAATCTCTCAGTTGAAGCAGAAACAGAAGTGTTTTAAACCTGGATTTTAACATTGTCAAAGAAGAAGCCTGTCTCACATTTCCAGGAAGACCGTTCCAGATTTTAGCCTTGTGAATCTGAAATGCAGCTTTATCATGTTTAGTTCCGACTCTGGGCAATAAACGATAAACACAGCATTCAAAAATCATTAGAACTGTAGTAGAAGGATATCAGTCATTATTGCAAATGGAGCTGCATTAAAAATCATGTTTCTCTACATCAAAGTACAAGTTAAACCACACAGGGCACAGTGTTATGAACACTACTGTACTGAACACTACTGTACTGAACAGTTCATGCCAAAGTAAAAAAACATGATTGTAGCGCCGATGTTTGGATCAGTATTAAAACAGGCACAAGCTACACTCTAGGTTCCCCAGATGTAAAAACACAATCTGAAAGGCAGAAGAATGCATTTATTGAATGTTGAGGTTCCAACATGTGTCCTCTCTTGGTCTTCAGTCTCTCATCACAAGGTCCAAGCACAGCACCTGAAAATGTGGAACATGTTTAGTTTCAACATAATGTGGCAAAGTGATATAACAACACATAACTTTCTATTAATGCCTCAAACCACTCGATCCATCACCATGTGATACAAACCTTGGCACTGCACTAGCTCGAGACACTGGAAGACACTCCGTCTGAGAAACTTGGGATAAGGCTTTGGTCATTGGAGTAATTCCATGTAAAAAACAATTGCAAATGTGCATTTGTTTTGCACATGGACAAATGAGCCCTGAAAGCTACTTACCCTGTATTACTCTACACATGTTGCATTTCCGAGGGGGCATTTTCCCCTTGTTGCTCTTTTCCCTCATCTTGAGTGAGTTGCTGAACAATCTGAGAAAAAGATAGATGTTTTCAAAGAGAATACACCAAATAATGGTTTATTCTAAAAACAACATAATAATACAGAAGAACAATCAATGTGTGAGAGTGTGATTCTTACCTTTGAACACCTTCAACACAGTCTGACACCTGTAAGACTCAAACACACATGACACATTAGGAATACACATAGAACATTAGTTATTGCAACAATCATGAAATTATACTCTATGGATTTCACAATAATTGACTGCATTAGCAAAGGTAAATGTATTTTAATTAACATATGGCTGGTTTTAAAGTTTATAAGAAAAAGTAAGAAATTGAATAGAGTTGCAAGCGCTAGTTAGCTTGCTACCAGCAGATGAACGGATATTTAATATTTGCAGCTAACAATAACAAAAATAACAACTGTAGTGGCTCATTTAAACAGCCACAGTGAGAAGAAGTGAAAGTCTCTGACATTGAAGACCTGGGAAGACATTAAATCAATTTATTAAACAAAGCAATACATGAACATTAAACTCTCTTTCTGCAGCAGGTAACATCTGTGTGCTCCTATGGTCCCACATGGTCCCACATGGTCCCACACCTGAACTCAACTCCAACTGATGACATCACAGGTGTCTAAATGATGGGAGTGTCCCAAATATTAAAGCTGATCTCCCTGTTTTTAAACTTAGTTTACTAAGTACTGTTGTCTTTTTGCAGTTTATAAACCATTGTGAAATATACAGTAACTTTACATTTTAGAATTGAATTATTATTTTAAAACTCAAGAATCTTAACCTTTTTTAACACATACTTTGTTGGACAGTCTAACCTAAGAATTCTAATGTGTTAAAAATAGTTTGAAATATGAAAAACAATATCATATTTTAAACTTTAACTTAAAAACTAAAAAAAGGTGTCTCCCTTTCAGCTGAGCAGTGCCAGCCGTTATTATTATAGATTCATGCACTGGCAATTCAAAATACAGATAATATACAAAATATACTTAACAAATTCCACGTATACGTGAGAAAACAACTTACTTTCTGTCTCCAACTCTTTTCAATGTGGAAATGATACATCTATATCTAAAAACTGTGCAGACTGTACTTACTAGAGAGGATGATTCCAAGTAAATAAAGCAGGGCAGCGACAGAGGTACAGATTCAACGTCATATCAACGTCTGGGAAGGCATTGCTTTACGTCCAGATGCACACCTTACGTCGTTTAGACGTGGAAAACAGGTCCTCGACCGAGCGACTCACGTGTCAGGCTGTAAAGTTATAAGTTATACTCGCGCGGCGCATAAGTGTGCGTCGGTTGTTTAGGGTGTTATGTATTATTTTTTCACAGTAGTCAGAAAAAATGCCTGGCCGTGGTGTAGTGGTTGCGTAATGAGACTTCAGTCGCAACGACGCGGGTTCAAATCCCCGTCGGAAAACTTTTGACTTTTCACTTTTTAGCGAACAATTTTTCTGTT